TTCCCTGAACAAGCCCAGGGAGCTGTGCACCACCTCTCCGAGAGGTCATGCTGTCAGCTCCAGCCTATCAGCCCTGTACTATCAGCCCTTTCTGTACCTGCTTCCCCGGATCCCTGCAGGGCGCCACACGGAGCTTGCAGTATGTATCTTCATTTGTTCAACAGTATTCCTTGAGCACTTACTATGTGCCAGGCACTGTGCTAGGCACTTGAGATATGAAAGACCAAAATTTCTGCCCTTTTTTTATTTGTTGTGCCCTCTTTGAGGTCTGGCACTGAGCTAGGGTCCTGTTTAGTGGCAGAAATGAAACGCCGCAGAGATTACCATTAAGGATCTCACAAAAGACTACCTGGGTTTGCCAATACCTTCGTCTACCACGGAGAAAAACTTGTAATGCATTAAGGAAATTCAGAGGTGAGAGCAGTGACAAGGCATCAGACGTATGATCAAGAAGGCTTCCCAGGGCAGGTGGCATGAAGAAACCTTGAATGATGAGTTGTGGCATGTGCACTCAATCTGGTGAAAAATGGGTGCCATTAAATGTTTTTGAGCAAAGAAATTTTTGTGATAAGAGCTGGTTTTTTGTTTTGGTTCGTTTGTTTGATTATTTGTTTAACGGAAAGCCGGAAGGGCCCAGCCGCGCAACCGCCTCCGGGCTTCCCGGCTCTTGCAGCCCTGGAGGTGCGAGGGGCGTTGGCGTTGTCCACACTGGCTCTCTAACTTGTTCAGTTAAGGCTGTACGCATATTAATTCATTTATATTTATATACTTACTTAAATATACCTGGATATGGATGTGTATGCTTTTATGTGTTACGTACGTAGTATGTGTGTACAAATATACATTTAGGCGTAAGTACATATGCATGTTATATATATATATAACATGGGTTTTTTTGTTTTTGTTCATTTGTTTGATTATTTGTCTTAAGATTACTGTCAGCAGGATGATGATTGGGTTGAAAAGAGGTAAGCAGAGAGCCAGATAGGAAACTATTGCAATAATCTATGGAAAGCAACAAAATCCTGTGGTAGTAAAATGTGTGTGTATATATATATATAATATTACACATATAAAATATATATAATTGATAAAACTCAAGAAAGATATTTAAAAAGTATTGAGAACAAATTAATGAAGAACATTATGGATTTTATAGATAC